TCCAAAGTTAGTGGGGGTCGGTCATACATTTGGACTCGATTGGAGCACTCTAAATGGGTCAAAGTGGGATTTTTCAAAATTTGCCCCTACCCAAAAGTTCGACCCAAATTGGGGGACATCAGAATTCGTTTTAGAGGTATGGTTCCTTCGGCAAAGTTTCTTATTTTGATCCCTAGAATACGATTTTCATAGAGCAGTGAGCGATTTTTAAATCGACCCGCCCTAATACACATGTAGGTTAGGTTAGAAATTAAACATTAATTTCACTTAATTTTATTCAAATTGCTGATTTAATTTTTTTTACTCATAATCATTTTTAATTCTTTTAATACATAAATTATCGGTATAATTTATAAAATATGACACTTGCGTATATTTGTGACTCAAGTGCGTTAAGATATCTTGAAAACACTGCATCCATTACCGTTTTTGAGCTTGTAGTTTGAGCATTTCTATTTATTTATATTCCTAAATTAGTTTTTCTTTTTGGAATATAATCTGTGGCTCTGCTTCATCTGTCACTGTGTTTACGTTAAAGTCATGAATACATATAATATACAATCTTTTGTTTGCAAAATGGAAAGCTAAATTCATTAGTTCGGCATTTCCTCTTACTCTCGTCTTCTGTTTGAGTAATCTTGTATTAGCTCTCATCCAGTACTCAATGAACTTACAGGTTTTTACACGTACTCCAAAATTATGTAAATGAGAGCGATTTTTGGAGTGTTTTGTAGAGAATGAAGTTGCAAGATTTTACCCGTTGCTTTTTTAGTTCCCGTACTTTTTGCTGTTACTCATATTTTACTCCCACTTCAGAGAGTGATTTTGTTGTTTGACATTTTTACAGGATTTTGCACGAAGTGTATTGGATCAGCGCTATTATATCATCCATACATATGTATATTATACATATATTCATGTATGTTCATCATTTATCAACGGTCCCAGTTAAAGTGATTTCAGTACTGTTTTCAATTTTCGCCTTGCATTTTTATCAATAGACTACTAAACCTAAGCTTAAAGCTATGCTACGAATATCAAAACCACTTTCAACAAATGAGTTCATACCTATGTATGTACACACAAACTTAAGTATGTATACATATAGGTACTACAAAGCCGTATACATGCGCGGAGTTTGCATAATCGAAAGTAAAAATCAATTGTACCGCATTTCCTATTACTGTGCATGTGCCTAAATGTACACAAACATTTGCGATAGCAAGTAAGCACAGGGTGCTTCTAATGAAATTAAAAATTTTCTGCTGCCATACACATGCTAATCCCTTCTAAATTTTTTGCTGGGCTATACGTTACAGCTTCGCAAATTTCACCCCACACACATCAAATAAGGCCTACAGAGAGAGAATAGTAAATGAAAGTGCCAGAACAGACTGCAGAGAAAGACCAGAAAGTGAGTGAAGTGAAAAAAGACTCCAAGAGAAGCAATAAGTGTAGAGCAAGTGTGTGAAAATACCCACAAATATTTTCTAAGAACAGTGAAGATGGCGAAGCTTTCGTATGTAAATTACCTACTTATGGAGGAGGTCGTCGAATATATTGCGGAGTTCGGGCTAGAAGAGTCCGGGACAGTTGACGAGCGGCGGTAGAGGTTATCAGAGTTCCTGTGAGAGGTAATAGACGACCCAAGGTACACCAGGCGTCTGATGGAACTTTCCGTAAAGCACGGCCGGGCGGACGCCCTTTCGCGGACGCGCCGACACTCGGCTGAAACGAAGATATGGCAGCCCAATCCAGCAGCCGTGTACCACCACCAGCACACCCCACTCTCTTCTCCTCCAGCCATTGGCAGGGATCTGTCGTCTGGCGCTCTTGGGTTATGGTTCCCAGTTGTTCCCCATGTGGCCTCGGGAGAGCGTCCGCAATTACGTTCAGCTTTCCTTTTCTTTACTGTACGTCAAGGGAGTGTTACTGCAGCTCGAGTGCCACCTCGCGATTCTACCGGACGGACTCTCGATCGCGGTTAACTACTTTCGAGATAAGTGGTCCGCCCCGAAACCTAGTCGCTGGCGTTGTCTGCAGTATGAACTTCTTAGTAAAGTCGGGGTACGATAGTACCCGTGCTTCTGTTAGTGCTCTTTTCGGGGCTTCGAAAGCAGCCTGCTGCTCATGGGACCAATGAAAACGCTTGCCTTTTTTTAGTAGCGCGGTGAGCGGGTGGACAATGCGCTAAAAATCTGGTACGAATCGTCGGTACCAGGACGCTACGCCTAGGAAGCGACGTAGCTCCCACGTGTGTGCCGGGGTCTTCATGTCCTTCACAGCTGCGACCGTGCCTGGATCTGTAGGGATGCCATCCTTTTTTACTACGTGACCTAAGTTCTTAAGCTCTTCCTTAAAAAATTCACACTTTTCCGGATTAACCGGGCACAGACCGTGCGTTCAGCTGACGGTAGTCCACGTATAGTCTCCACTTCCTATTCTTCTTCCTTGTAAGCACAATTGGAGCGCTAAGTGGACTGTACAAAGGCTCTGTACACCGTTTTTCCAGAGGCTCGTCGATCTCTTTGTTTATTACCTCCTGCATGCGTGGGTTCTTCGGGAAATAACGCTGCTTAACAGGGCGGCCGTCTCTCATAATTATTTAGTGCATGGCTATGTTGTAGATACCTGTAATTTTCTCGCTTCGTTAATGAAGCTCCTTGTGGCTCCAATGTCTACTGTCGCGATGATTCCTCCTTCGTCCTGGTATAAGAACGCCTTTAATGCGTGCGAGTTACCGTCATTTGGGTCTCCGCTCCTCGCTCTTGGCGGGGCCCGTGCTCGTTTCCCTGCATCCTTAAGCAGCAGTTTCTTGTCTGCACCCTGCGACGTTCACACTCCCATCAGAAGTAAATTCTGGGGTTACGGCATCCGTACGCTACATGGCTGCTGTCTCCGCATCGCTTACATGCAGTTCTCGGGTCTATTGGGCCTGCGTCATTCCACGCTGTACCGCGGTCGTAACCTCTATACTGGCATAGAACATCGTCTAAGAACATCGTGACGCCTCTGTGGAATGGGCGCACGCCTATAAGTGTCGGGGTGACTTTCGTGGCGTCGAGGTGGCGCTGGTCACTTACTGGTTTGACTGGCTTCACTGCCTTCAGCATATCTCAAAAGATTCTGTAGCTCGAGTACGTAGTCCTTAAAGTTCTCTTGTACTCCCTGCACTCGTTGGCGGATCTCGTCGTCTAACATCTTAATGTACCGCGAGGACAGGAAGAACTTTATAAAGTCCCGTATGTATTGGTTCCATGTCGGCCATCGTTTGTTGTTGTTGCGGAATCAGCTTAGCGCTCGATCCCACAGTAATTCCGGCATTGCTTTCGGCAATACGTCAAGTCTGATTTCATAGCCTCGGCTAGCTCCTCAACGCGTTCTAGGAACCCTAGGGGGTCGTTATTTTCATAAAACTTTAGCCCCCACTTTCTCACTCGGTCCATAACCGTAGCGTAAGCCGGCTCGGATTGAGTTGTGAGAGTGGGGTGTGCTGGTGGTGGTACACGGCTGCTGGATTGGGCTGTCATATCTTCGTTTCTGCCGAGTGTCGGCGCGTCCGCGAAAGAGATTTGGGACGCCCGGCCGTGCTTTGCGGAAAGTTCCATCAGACGCCTGGTGTCCCTTGGGTCGTCTCTTACCTCTCACAGGAACTCTGATAACCTCTACCGCCGCTCATTAACTGTCCCGGACTCTTCTAGCCCGAACTCCGCAATATATTCGACGACCTCCTCCTTAGGTAGGTAATTTACACACGAAAACTTCGCCATCTTCACTGTTCTTAGAAAATATTTCACACACTTGATCTACACTTATTGCTTCACTTGGAGTCTTTTTTCACTTCACTCACTTTCTGGTCTTTCTCTGCAGTCTGTTCTGGCACTTTCACTTTCTATTCTCCCTCTGTAGGCCTTTTTTGATGTGAACATCTTTGGTTGCGGTAGGGGTGAAATTTACGAAGCTGTAACGTATAGCCCAGTAGAAAATTTCGAAGGGCTTAGCATGTGTATGGCAGCAGAAAATTTTTAACTTCATTAGAAGCACCCAGTGTGCAAATGTTTGTATACATTTAGGCACATGCAAAGTAAGAGGAAATGCGGTACAATTGATTATTACATTCGATTATGCAAACTCCATGCATGCATACGGCTTTGTAGTACCTATATGTATACATACTTAAGTTTGTGTGTACATACATAGGTATGAACTCATTTGTTGCAAGTGGTTTTGATATTCGTAGCATAGCTTTCAGCTTAGGTTTAGTAGTCTATTGATAAAAAAGCAAGACGAAAATTGAAAAAAGTACTGAAATCACTTTAACTGGGACCGTTGATAAATGATGAACATACATGAATATATGTATAATATACATATGTATGGCTGATATAATAGCTCTGATCCAATACACTTCGTGCAAAATCCTGTAAAAATGTCAAACAACAAAGTCACTCTCTGAAGTGGGAGTAAAATATGAGTAACAGCAAAAAGTACGGGAACTAAAAAAGCAACGGGTAAAATCTTGCAACTTCATTCTCTACAAAACACTCCAAAAATCGCTCTCATTTACATAATTTTGGAGTACGTGTAAAAACCTGTAAGTTCATTGAGTACTGGATGAGAGCTAATACAAGATTGCTCAAACAGAAGACGAGAGCAAGCGGAAATGCCGAACAAATGAATTTGGCTTCCCATTTTGCAAACAAAAGATTGTATGTTATATGTATTCATGACTTTAACGTTAACACAGTGACAGATGAAGCAGAACCACAGATTATATTCCAAAAAGAAAAACTAATTTAGGAATATAAATAAATAGAAATGATCAAACAGCAAGCTCAAAAACGGTAATGGATGCAGTTTTTTCAAGATATCTTAACGCACTTGAGTCACAAATATACGCAAGTGTCATATTTTGTCAATTATACCGATAATTTCATATACTAAAAGAATTAAAAATGATTATGAATAAAAAAAATTAAATCAGCAATTTGAATAAAATTAAGTGAAATTAATGTTTAATTTCTAACCTAACCTACATGTGTATGTATGTAACTGAATCGCCTAATAATAGGTTTACATATAAAAAGATTATCCTTATTTTCGAGCTTAACTCCCTAATCTGTAATTATAACTAGTAAGAAAGTCTAAGTTCGGGCGGAGCCGAACATTAAATACCCGGCGGAGGTACTAAGTATATGATTTTCACCTTTGCGAAAGCTACCGCTACACGGTAAGCCGGTGTGTATCAATTTTGAGTAAATTAGCGTCCTTAAATGTCGAAATATTGAAGTTTCAAGCATTTCTGAAATTTGCCGTTATATGAAAAGTGGTCGTAATTTGAATCTGATTCCAATAACTTTCAACGTTTTGCTTCTATGTGGCAAGCACAATAATCATACCGAGTTTGGTACAAATTCGTAGAACGGTTACCGAGATACATATATGTGATCATAAGTGGGCGGTGCCACGCCCATTTTCCAAAATTTTATCATAAGCGTATTTCTTGGCAAAGAATTGTTGCAAGCATCAATTTTGAGTAAATTAGCTTTAATAGTTTTTTATTTATCGAAGATTTCGTATTTCTCCAAATTACCGGTACATGGGAGGTAGGTGTAATTATTGTCCGATTTTAAAAATTTTCTGCCATTTGGTATGCTGTAGCAAGGCTAACAACTGTGCCAAGTGTGGAAGAAATTGGTTCAGCGGTTACCAAGATATACACATGTATCCATAAGTGGGCGTGGCTACGCCCATTTTCCAAAAATGTATAATATTCTTATTTTTCGTCTAAAAATTATTGTAAATATCAATTTTGAGTGAATAATCTTCAGTAGTTACTAAAATATCGCAGTTTTCGTATTTCTGAAAATTACCGTTATATGGGAAGTAGGCGTGGTTATTGTCCGATTTTGCCCATTTTCAATACCATCCGTCCTACGCTCGAAGGAAGTGTACATACCAAGTTTCGTTAAGATATCTCAATTTTTACTCGAGTTATCGTGTGCACAGACGGACGGACAGACGGACGGACGGACGGACAGACAGTCACCGCTTAATCGATTTCTCTTTTCATTCTGATCATTTATGTATACATTTGTCTATATCTATCTCGATTCGTTTTGCCTGTTACAAACAACCGTTATGTGAACAAAGTTATAATACCCTTGTGCACAAGTGCGCTCGGGTATAAAAAGAGCTCAGCCATACAAAATTATAATAATAAAATTATCTCCGATTAAACCGATAACTTTTTGGTGTCCAACATAGTTGTATAATAAATAGTTGCGAATAATAATTGTTGTTTTTCCACAATAAGTTTTTCACTAAAAACGGCCTCAAGCTCATTAAAAATTGTTGAATGTAATTGCTATAAGGCCATAAAATAACAAAAACAAATAACTTAAGGACGAGCACACCTAAAAATTAACCATTCTAAAAATAGAATTATTAGCAAAAACCAACAAAACCAACCTTTACATGATCAAGTGAATTGCAGCGGAATAGCTGCGCTTGATTGTGTTGGCATAACAAATGAAAAAGTAGGAAAAAGCAACGAAAATGTACAAGGCGAGCTTACCACAGTGCATAGGCAACTGGCTGAGTCAGTGGGATCGTCGGTTCGAAGCCTACTGAAAGAAGTCTGATGAGGAAATGTGGTGATTTCCGAAATAGCTATCACTTCTACCATTTTTTCACATTATGGTTGCTTTTCCACAATAAGTTTTTCATTAAAAACGGCCTCAAGCTCATTAAAAATTGTTGAATATAATTGCTATAAGGCCATAAAATAACAAAAACATTTATTTATTTTTTCAATTCAATTAGTCTATGAAACAATAATTTCTTACAGACTATATAACAATAAAGCTTAAACTAGGGTATTGTTTAGGCCTTCAGCCTAAAGATTTTCATTCCTTTGTGACCCGCCCTAGTGTTGGCATATAGGCGTATGCACACACATATACATATGCACACCAATTATGATTAACTCGCTCCGTTAACTGACGTTTCCCGGCGGATAATAACCTATCGTTAAGTTTCCCCTTAATATGGGTTGTTGTCCGGCGGTCCGATTTAGAATCCTGCAAATCCTTAAGATCACTTCGGTTTAGAAGATCAACGCGAGCAGACCAGCAGCTACCAGGCCACTGTCACTAAGGTAACACCATTGTTATTTATACCAACATTTATTGAAATCTGACTCTGAATATTTTAAATTAAACAAATACTAAAAAACAAATATTTCGCTTTGGTATTTATTTCCATTCACTATCACCTGCATCGGAGCGTTATTCCCGATACGCACCCCCGTGCAAGTTCATGGTCCATTCGGAGCCGTCCGACTAAAATAAGACTAAATTTCGTACAGCGCCATTTGGAAACCTAGCGATCCTCAAAATACTGATACAGTCCACTGCCCTATTAAGCGATATTGCCATAAGGAGTTTTCACCCGCACGCCAGCATCTGTGCCACAGAGTTCAAGCTACTACCACAACCAGAGATAATTGCCACAAACACAGCACTCAGCACTAAAACAAGGTACGTGGTTATATTTTCAGTGCACTTTGATTTGCGGATCTGAATTTCGTTTGTGAGAAATCAATTACAATTAGCGTCAAATTAAATTAATATATATCTACATATATACTCGAGTGAAAAAGACATTACGCGGGTGACATTGTGAAAACAGCAAACTTTCTGAGTGCGTTCAATAATTCAGCGAGCTGATTTCGTCCGTCCGCGAGGGACAACAGCTATCATTGATTGAAAGTGCACACACACACACGTGACTGTGAAAATTGTCTCATTAATTTAAATTTAATTGCCGAACATGCATTTGATTTCCGTGCTTCGTTTATTTTCACCACAATAAATTCACTGTGCCATATTAGTTTGACCTAAATATACTTGTGTTGCACAAATATTTTTTCGCGAACCACTTGTCATTGGAGGATACATAACCTCAATGCTGTAATTTGCTTTTAATTAGCCCTTTAATTGAAATCAATCACTTGCGTAATTTCACAAAGTCACTTTATTTGATTGTTTTTTGTTTTCAATCTGTTAATTTTTTTGATTTGCACATATATATATATATATATTTGTTACTGGTCCAGAAACACAGACACATACCCACGTACATTTTGTTTTGCACGGTTGGGTGGCGAGTTTTAACATACACGCACGTATTTAGATATATGTATCACGCACCTGGTTGGAAAAATCATATTAAAATAAAGTTCTGAGCATAAATTTTTATGTACATATACAAATCAGCGTGACTTTCTTTTTTGAATTGTGGATACATTTTCTCCTTCTTTGGCGTTTGAACACAAGAGCTGGCATTTTTGGTTTCATTTCTCATTTGAAGATTAGCCCACAAGTGCGATCAAATAAGATATCTTAGGTTGGTATATCAATACGGTGAATATTTGGCTTAAATTATCAAATCTTCGAAAAGATTCCAAATTCAATCGATTTTCTACATCTTGCTTAAAAACACATATAAAGGCAACTAGTTTCCCTATCCCAAAATTTGCTTAGCAGAAGATGTCACAGAGTTCGAGTCCGACTTCCTTGCTTCGTCAATATCAGAGCAAAATAAGCATGTCCTTGCTATTCAGCGAGAGGAACTCAAAGCTCTGTGGGAGAAAACAAAACAAGCCTACGATGCCCTTAATACCTCTGATGAATTTTCACAAGAAGATAAGAGGACATACAGAAAAATAAATAGAGGCGCGTTCGCTAGTTATGTAAACTGCATGTCGTCTTTAGGGACGTAGAACAGAAGCCTATGCGAAAACACAATATTCACCTTCCACCGTGTAATACAGATGTTTTCAAAGGCGATTATCTGTCTTGGCCAACATTTGGAGATATGTTCACGGCCATCTACATCTCGAATCAGGAGCTTACTCCGGTTGAGAAGCTATATTACCTCAACCAAAAAACCAAAGGAGAAGCCAAAGACATCGTGAGTAAGTGCCTAATAATTAATGAAGGCTTCGCAACAGCATGGGAAAATTTGTGTGAGCGATAGGAAAATAAGCGTATTCTCGTTAACACACAACTCAAAATATTATTCAATTTAAATTCAGTGGAGAGTGAATGTGGTAGCTCTATTAAAAGATTGCAGCGTGATATCAACAATTGTTTGTCATCCCTCAAGAGTCATCAAATTGACATTTCAAATTGGGACGCAATTGTTATATATCTTTGCTCGACTAAACTGCCTGACAGCACTTTGGCTCTATGGGAGCAAACCATAGACCACACAGGCGATTTACCGAAGTGGGAAGATATGGATAAGTTCCTATCTAACAGGTTTCAAACCTTGGAAACCCTGACAGGCTTAAAGGGTACGAAAGCGGTGAGAGCGCCAAAGCCGCAAAACACAAGACCCATACCAAAAGACTTGGTGCATTCCAAGCAAGCGTGACCAAGTTCACGTGCACCAAGTGCCAAACGAATGAGCACAAACTACGCCGCTGTTCCAAGTTTTTGAAGCTTACGCCAAATGAGATGATTAACTTCTTGAAGAGCAACAACAGTTGCCTGAATTATTTGAGTGCTGCACATACCGTGACAAGGTGCACAAGCCCCTTTAATTGCCACTCGCGACATCACACACTCCTGCACATTCAGACAAATGTGCAAAAGGCAACAGCGGCTCGAACGCCGACTGAACGTGTCAATGACACTGCATCATCCTCTCAACAGTCTCAAGCAAAACGCAGCTTCAATAATAGAAATAATAACAATAAAAGCAAAAACGTTAAGTCTTGTTATGCTAACACGAATTCAGGTGTGCTCCTAGGAACAGCTCGCGTAAATATACATCTCAATGGCACAGATTTTTCTGCTCGAGCACTTATTGATTCTGGTTCTGAGTGTTCGTTCATAACAGAAGGACTCAAACGCAGAATCAGCCTGCCAGCTAAGAGGATGCATGCCCAAGTCTCGGGCATTACGAATGCAACCTCTGCGCAGGTCAAAGAGGCATGCAACATAGAACTTCGATCCCCAGTTGATCCGTTGTTCAGCCTGCATGCAGCGGTGCTCGTCCTAACAAAACTAACTGGAAATCTACCGTCCTGACGTATCAGCGCCATGACTATGCAGGCATTTCCAGGTCTTGTTCTAGCTGATAAACGGTTCTACATTAATGAAGAAGTAGACCTCGTACTTGGCGGAGATATTTATCCCCAAATTATTTTATGCGGCCTGAACAAAAATGTACTCAGTACACTCCTGGCCCAAGAAACCGTGTTCGGTCGGATATTAATCGGTTGCACAGATGCGCCCAATCCAACCAACAATATAGTTTCGTATCACAGTGAAGTTGCCTTGGACAAACAACATACTGCATTCTGGGAAATAGAAGACATACCAAAAAATAAAAGCTTCAACGAAGACGACAAATACTGTGATGAACTTTATCGGAAGACAACTCGTAGACGAGAAGACGGAAAATACGTAGTCTCGCAACCATTTAGGCAGGAATTTCCAGCAAACATCTGCCTAGGCCCTTCTCTTAAAAAAGCATGCTCTCAATTCTTCCGGAATGAGACACGGCTTGCAAAGGATACCGTCCTACAAAAAGAGTATAATAGGGTACTAGCTGAATATGAATCACTAGGACACATGTCCCGAACAAATGATAGTATTTCAGCAGCCTCTTCCGATAACTACTTTTTGCCTCACCATGCTGTCATAAAGGCAGAAAGTATNAAGAGTATAATAGGGTACTAGCTGAATATGAATCACTAGGACACATGTCCCGAACAAATGATAGTATTTCAGCAGCCTCTTCCGATAACTACTTTTTGCCTCACCATGCTGTCATAAAGGCAGAAAGTATCTCCACTAAAGTTCGAGTCGTCTTTAATGCCTCAAGTCCAACGGCTAATGGCACAAGTCTGAACGACGTACTTCTCCCAGGTCCAGTTCNATAAAGGCAGAAAGTACCTCCACCAAAGTTCGAGTCGTCTTTAATGCCTCAAGTCCAACGGCTAATGGCACAAGTCTGAACGACGTACTTCTCCCAGGTCCAGTTCTCCAAGCAGATCTTCCGAACCTTATACTCCGCTGGAGGTTATACAGATACGTTTTTAATAGTGACATCGAGAAGATGTATCGGCAAGTTTGGGTGGATAGCAACCATACCAAATATCAGCGGATAGTTTTCCGTACAAACCCGAACGAACCTGTAAGTCTATACGAATTAAAGACTGTCACTTTCGGGATTAATTGTGCTCCTTACCTCGCGATAAGGACACTTCTACAACTGGCTGACGATGTAGAAAGCTCTTCCCCAATAGCATCTAACATACTACGGAAATGCATGTATGTGGATGACGTGCTAGCTGGAGGACATAGCATCGATTCTACCGTAAAAGCAAGAGATGAAATCTCTGAAGTACTACGGTCAGCCGGTTTTCCGCTAAGGAAATGGACCTCAAACTGTGCGGAAATTCTAAAGGACATCCCAAAAACGGATCTACTCAGTGAAGACTTTTTGGCATTCGAAGATACCAGCACGGTTAAGGCTCTTGGCATAAGATGGAATGCCCATACCGATCTATTCTTTTTCATGGCAGGACCATTGGAGGATCGCGAGACACTTACAAAAAGGGCGATACTATCAGCTATCGCCAAGCTATTTGATCCGCTAGGATGGCTTGCTCCAATAGTCGTCGTGGCCAAAATAATCATGCAGAGTATTTGGCTAGAAGGCACAGACTGGGATGAGACTGTGTCTTCTACTACTATGGAACGATGGCAGAATTTTACCAAACATTACCATGAAATAGACAATATTAGAATACCTCGATGGGTACACTTCGCACCAGGAGATGACATCGAGATACATGGTTTCTGCGACGCATCGGAGAAAGCATATGCGGCTACAGCATACATGCGCGTCAAACGAGATGACAAAGTTTTGGTCAACCTTCTTCTGGCAAAAACCAAAGTAGCTCCTGTCAAAATAATATCGCTACCACGACTAGAGCTTTGCGGAGCCGTACTCGCGGAAATCATAGAATCATAGAATCATAGAATCCGTAATCAACAACCTCAACCTAGGGCAAGTGAAAACATATCTCTGGATAGATTCGACCATCGTACTCGCATGGATACGAAAGCCGCCTTGTTCTTGGTCAACTTTCGTCGCACACCGAATTACGAAAATAGTAGAAAAGGTCGGTAACAAGGACTGGTTACATGTAGACTCGGCTTCTAATCCAGCCGACTTGGCTAGCAGAGGATTGCCTGCGTCAGAGTTGGTGACCAATTTTTTGTGGTGGCAGGGACCTTCTTGGTTGCAAGAAGACAACTCTAAATGGCCTGCTCAAGAAATTAACTATCACACAGAAGTTGAAGAAAAAAGGGCACACGCTTATGCATCAACAAAAGTAAATGATATCGATATCCTTGACCGGTTTTCAGATCTACCGAGAGCCTTGAGAGTGTTAACATATGTCAGGAGATTCTACCGAAGAACTCACCCGAAAACAAAGGCTTTATTTCAGGAAAATTCTTGTTTAATTTCATCAGATGAAATTAAGACGACGACACATCTCTGGATAAAAATCAACCAGAAGCAACACTACGGTGAAGAATACAGGAATTTGAAAACAAGAAAACCCATCGCTGCAAAGAGTGAAATCCTTCCGCTTAATCCGTTCGTCGACAAGCACGACATCATCAGGGCTGGAGGTCGCCTCGGAGCATCCCAGGACTTAGCATATAATGAGCGCCATCCAATCATTATTCCGTATAACTGCAGATTGTCCCGTCTTATCGTCCCGTTGATTCACCAAGTCTCCTTACACGGAGAAAATCAACTCATGTTACGCCTTATCCGTACCCAGTACTGGATTCCCAGGGTAAAAAACATGATTAGGTCTACCATCCACAATTGTAAAATTTGTACCATCTACAAAAAACGATCTCAGACGCAAATTATGGGAACTCGTCCTCAGGAACGCACAACATTTACGCGCGCGTTCACGAATACGGGAGTAGACTTCACGGGACCCTTTGGAATTAAAAGTTACCGTGGTAGAGGTTGTCGAATTTCCAAAGGTTATGTTTGCCTATTGGTTTGCAGCATTTGCTCGGTTCGTGGCTAGAAGAGGATGCCCGAGGAATATCTATTCCGACAATGGTACAAATTTTATCGGAGCTTCGCGATCTTTACGATCTGAATTCAAAGCATTTTTGTCTGACGCGCGAGACAAAAAGACTTCCAAATACAACCATCAAACACTTAAGTGGCATTTTATACCTGCTGCCGCTCCGCACATGGGAGGACTCTGGGAGGCAGGTGTAAAAAGCTTTAAAAGCCACTTCAAATGAGCCAAATGATCTGGAGCCGCTTACCCCAGGCCATTTTCTCACCGGTGGACATCTTATGGCTCCGCCAGAACTGGATTGAATGAGAACCCTGCCTCCATCGTCAATCGATGGCAAAAACTAAAAGCACTGCATCAGACGTTTTGCAGGCGATGGAAAGTGGAGTACCTAGCCGAACTACAAAAGCGAATTAAATGGAAGCACCCCAAGGAGAATATGAAAACCAGTGATCTCGTTGTTATAAGGGAAGACAATCTGCCTCCAACTGAATGGAGATTGGGGCGAGTTGTCAACTTACACCCGGGTACCGATGGTAGGGTGCGCGCAGTGGATATACTGACAGAGAAAGGTCAAGTTACCAGACCACTAGTGAAGTTGGTTCTCCTCCCACCATACAGCGAGGGAAGCTCGGAGCCAACAACTACGTCATAAATCGCCCTTCTTCATCCATATCGTATTCCACTTCCTGTTACAACGAAATTCTACTTTCATGTAATAGGAGTGATTCCACGCCCTAATAGTTAAAACGTTACAAGGGAATTATGGTTAATATTTGGAGGTGATGGTGCTTACTCGGGCCCCTCCCGAGTTGATCTGGTTAAAACAAACGACCATCGTCAGATCTATAATCATAATAGTAATAAATCGCAGGGTAGCGAACTACTCCGCCTCTGAATAAGAAGCAAACAGTAGAAAACTAGCAAGTATAACAAATGCACGATATGTTTTTTTTTTCAAATTCGGCAAAATTCAAGCGTGCTGGTTTTCTACCCGCTTTATTTTGGGGAGATTACATAAACTGAGTATAGACTTTGAATAACCCCGCCCCGAAATGAACCAGTTAAAATTATAATAATTATAAGGTTTAAACTCACGAATATTTGCTTCTGGTGCGTTTTGATGGGCGAAATCGTGGTCTGCTTTCTCTAATATACGCTTCAGGATTTTACATGTCATGCTCAGACCTTTCATCCGCCTGTTCTCCTTATTGCAACAACCCTTTATAAAAACACAAATCAATTAGGGCTCAAATAAACGGTTACAGAAAAAGGTAAAAAAAAAAAACATAAAACTTTGTTACCATACCAACGACACTTCCAACAAGGGTGATGATGGAAATAAAAGAAAGCCAGGATACTACCCCGCAGAGAACCGGCAGCTGGATTGGTGACCCACAAGCCAGTCTGGAATATAACCCAAGTATACACTTAAAAAAAAAAAAAAACAATTCATTTGGGTTTGGATGATACAGGCATCGATTCTGTGCAACTGACCAGTTAAATTTGCGTACACGGCTGTATTTCGAACAGAATAATTTATTAGTTATTTCCAGTGGAAAACAAACAGGATTCAAAATACGCTCAATCTCGTTGTAGTAATCAATTTTACATATGTACATTTTTATTGGTAAATCGAAGCAAGGTTGCCCATGTTTTAAGTTGAATGAACTTGTTGATTCACGTTATTGGTGCCAACCGTGTGCCACAATACGTCTTACAATCTTGGAGATTGAGGATAGTTTTGCAGCAAACTCCCGATTCCCATTTGCGGGGAAGCATAAGCCAGTTTCTGTTGGTCCTGTTGGCCGTAGAACGGCATGTGCTGACGATAACTGGGTTGTGAAGTAGGCTGCCGCTGTTATGTGGGCCCATACCGTAGGCTGGATAGGCACCAGTGTGACTTGGAGCTGCACCCCAACCACTTAATTCGCCCATGCCCAAACTATGCTGGTCAACGCCTGTGAGCCCATATATGTTATCCGGCGTTGGTTGGTACGTTGGACACTGAGACTGTTGCTGCAGCAGATGTGGAGCCCGGTGACGGCGGATACGCTTCCGGAGGACCCATAGCTCGTGCCGCTGCTGCGGTTGGGTCCTAGCGATAGTAGGGGGATTTCCGTGAAACATACTCTGTGCATTTTTGTCCATCACAGAGTCCAAATGTGACAAATCAAAGGTTTATTTGTTCCGCGTCTGTTGCAGTTGTAATATACATTCCGATTTACTTCGTACAAAAATTAGGGGCCTGTTGATCAATTGTCGCTGTGATGATGCAAATCGTTTCAACAGGCTGCCTCCAATTGAAATCTCGCTCATCCGTTCAAAGACAGCTTCAAAACGTTTTTTCTAGCCGCCTCCCCCCTCGCTATATTGGTGGGAGGGAGTTAAGTGTATTATCGACGATCTATTTGTCGATTATCTTTGGAAAAAAAACCGAACTTTTTTTCTGGCAACACATGATTGGAGATTTATTCTGTGAGTGCATTCAAGATATACTTTTCCTTTATGAAATCAAGAATTAACATACACATGTGGTTTCGCCTGTTTTTTTATAATATTCACCTCATTTGTGTGCTTTTACAAGCTGTTCATTTCTCGGTTTTTCTCGCATGTAAACGCTGATAGGATTCGACATTTTTTGCCAATGACACAGTAGCATGGCTTTAAATTTTAAATTCGTAATGAGGCTGGTTTTAGGTAAATATGGATTGAGAGTTGAATTGTTCCTATACACGGGCCGTTGTCGAGCAGTGCGTTTTGTATTGATGGGATGCCGGTTGTTGCCTGCGTAACGGTCCTTATGATGTCTGGATCTCTTAAAAGCCAACGGTAGGGACGCTTACGCGGATTTTCCACACTATCTGCAAAGGGACGTACGCACCACATCAAAGACCTCCATGTTGGTCTTATTTGCCGGAAAATAACACCAACTGAAAATATGCCAAGCAAAAAATTGAGAAAAAATTATATTGAAACATATATATTACTATTATTTTACGCATACTCACCTAACCTTAAGATTACGCAACCGCCGCGTGCCAGAAAAATATTGCAATTGAAAAGAATATGAACTCGCCGTGTAGGTATACAGATTTCCATTGAATTCATTCTGATATTCTTCGCAATGAAATATATTTCGCCTTGTATGTATGTATATGGTTGTCCATTGAATGGTTTCTGGCATTTGTACCCATGTACCCAACATGTACCCATGATAAAAACATTACAAGGTAAATTCATTCTCTCAATTCGTCGGCCATGATTTTTTTCTGACGTTTGCCAACATTTTAAAATCATATAAAATTGAAAATAAAAAAATTAAATTGTTCACAATTGTTGTTGTTTGAGATTGAAAATGAGAATGTGTGTGTGAGTTTGAGTTTTGATTTTAAAATTATATTGTTGGCAAACGTCAGACTGCCTCTCAATGGTTTTACCTTGTTATGTTTTTATCATGCATGTACCTACATACATACATTCCACAAAGTGAACGTAGTAAGGTAGCTCGAATTAGTGAACCGTTTCGACATTCAGTTTCACTCGATAGTTGTAATAAAAAAAATACATTTATAACTACTTAAAGATGCATTGTGATAAGCAAATATCAATGCATTAATTTTTTTATAAGTCTGTCACAAATTTTGATGTAAATTTCATAAGCAAACATGATATTTATGTATTTTATAACCAAACGGTTCTGCAATTATACTTATGAATTCTGCTGCATATGAGCTACCCTGTTTTTAGCCGAGTATCGCCTACAGCGGCATCCAAATTTTTTTCTGGGTGGCAGGCCAGTTGTAGGGTTGCGAGAATGGCTAAAAACTCTCCAAATGTCGATTAATACGTATTTCAACAGCTTCATTCAATGAAGTTTTGAATGGATAATGACGAAATTAGCAGTTCAAGTTATTCATAAAAATAATTCATTGTATGGAGAACACCACATTGGCACTACAAGGTCTAACTATTTAAAAGAAAAATTTATTCAAAACTAAATCGTGTGGTATAAATAATTTTTATCTTGTCATGCATCCCTGTATGATGGAATGCGTGGCATGTGGGCGAACCACTTGTCATTTTCATGGATCGCAACTCAGCCATTATACCCTATTCACATGTGGAAGTTTATGAAACACAATTAGTAACCATATAATGCCACATTCACACTTACAGAATCTTGTTTTTATCCCATAAACAAAAATTTGTCATGCCAAATGCATAGAGAATTTCCGCCTAAATTACTCGCCACCCAACAATATTTAAATAAATGGTTTCCGGTTCGAACAGGTCGTAAAAATATACCCATTTATTGCAGAAACTATGACCNCATTTATTGCAGCAACTATGACTCGCTTCACCCAATTGCTCAAAAAAGCGGCACAACACGCACATCGCTATCCTCAATCGTGTCGCTTATGCAACGGCAAACACCCGATACGACTGTGTCCGGTCTACAGGGCAAAAAATCCTGAGGAGCGACTTCGCGAAGCAATACTTGGGAAGTATTGTATCAACTGCCTCGCAATGACCCATCGAGCGGAAAACTGCACTAGTGCGGAGAGATGCCGCCGGTGTCACGACAAGCACCACACCACCATTCATCTGGAACGCATCGATAGGAGACCCTGGAGTCAACAGGTGGACGAAGAAGAAGACGAATTGGACGTGATCTCCATCTATGCATCCGAATCCGGAACGGAAACTCGGTCTTTCCGTCCGGAACTGGAAACTGGAGACGGTATTGAATCCGGAGCGGAGACTAGGACTCTCTGCCCGAACAATGACAGGGGAGCGGAAACTCGGACTTTCCAACCTCCACTTCATAACAAGACTCAAAGAGTGGCTGAATTGGAAACTAGGTCTTTCCGATCACGCCAGCATACGCGACGAACTCGCGGAGCGGAAACCGGGTCTTTCCGCCCGCACCAGCTAACCCCGGGCCCAACTAAACATCGTGAGCAGGGAGGAATAGTAGCACGATCTCGCCAACGCAAAGCACCGAACAACTTCCGAATGGGCCTTGCCGGCGCCGTGAGACAAACCGAGGTGCTACGACCTATGGTGTCGATTTCACCCACGGCAATCATCACAGTCGAGGCAGGAGGAAGACTTCACCTTGTTCGGGCACTGATAGATGCTTGTACACCATCCAGCATAATATTGAGCGACCTTTCGAGGAAGCTGGGCTTAAAGGTAACCCGGGGGAGGCAAAGAGGCTGTCTACTGAGTATTCGAGGGAAGCACGGGGGAAATAAGCAGGTGGCAACCCATGCACACATAATAAAAAATTACCGACGAATATCACCGACTAAAAATGTCGACCCGGCCATAGCTGCGACATATGCGCACATTCGGCTCGCCGACCCGAACTTCTTCAGGTCCTTACCGATTCGGATCGTCCTCGGCGCGGATGTCTACGCCGACATCATCATGCCCAGTGTTCTGCCGGCACCCTTTGGGCCTCTGTTGACCCAAGGCACAATCTTTGGATACGTGCTTGCGGGCGTCTGCCGCACGTAGTAGAAAAATTACAGGCCACATTTTACTTACCTTTTTTATTGTACAAACCATATATGTAATACTCCTATATTGGCAGTAAGAGCTAGTACCGTCCGAAAACACTACAGTACAGATATATCAATAAACACGTACAAAAGAAAAGGAACACATACGTTTATAAATAAACATGTACACAACATATATACAAATACGGCACTCAAGTACACAATAAATTGACAAAAACGGTACTAGACTGTCTCGCTTTGATTTCGGAAAGCTTACACATTGAGAAGTGAGCTTACTGCCAATATAGATGTATTACATATATGGTACAAACATGAATTTCGAATTTTATTTATGTTTTTTTTGTAATAAAAGTGCATCTGAGAATATCCACGTATCTTTCACTTAATTCTTTTACCTCTCTTCCCCTCAATCAGCAGTATAGGTGGAAACGACCATGGAAACGATATCGCGGCAATTGATGAATCTGGCTCATCGCAGTTATATCCAGAAATAATTTCACATCATTTTATTTTTATATATTTTAATCACATGTACATAGGTGAGCTGGTAGCTGCGGCATAAATGTTAGATGTTGCTTGCCGCAAGGGGGCCGGCATGTTTAGGCCTTCAGCCTAAAGATTTTCATTCCTTTGTGACCCGCCCTAGTGTTGGCATATAGACGTATGCACACACCTATACATATGCACACCAATTATGTTTAACTCGCGCCGTTAACTGACGTTTCCCGCCGGGTTAATATCGGTTGTTGTCCGGCGGTCCGATTTAGAATCCCGCAAATCCTTAAGATAACCTCGGTTTAGAAGATCAACGCGAGCAGACCAGCAGCTGCCAGGCCACTGTCACTAAGATAACACCATTGTTATTTATACCAACATTTATTGAAATCTGACTCTGAATATTTTAAATTAAACAAATACTAAAAAACAAATATTTCGCTTTGGTTTTTATTTCCATTCACTATCACCTGCATCGGAGCGTTATTCCCGATACGAGCCCCCGTGCAAGTTCAGGTATTTCATTTAAGAGGTTAGTAAAGGCTGTTTTCGGCAACGAAAAATCAAGGTCGATAGAATTGGAAATCTGATTAAATTCATTAAGAGCCCGCGCGATGGGCGCATTACAGGCATAATTTGTACTCACATTGTCAGCATATAATGGGAGGGAGGCACGAAGATACCTCCGCGGAACATTAAAATTGATTATTTCCAAAAGCTGCGGACAGTCAGAAATTCCTTGGACAATGCAAAAAATAAAAGTTAAAGATAATATTGACCACCTTTTATCCAACGTTTTCAAATTGATAAGCAATAAGCGCGCAGAGGGCACCCACAATCGAAGGCAGTAGAAAACTTTGCGGCAAAGTTTGCCCCGAAATATAGCGGGACATACACGGTAAGAAACTACCCTTCATCAGTTATAGTGGAGGTGGAAAGGCACAGAAAGACGAGGACGGCCCACTTACGCGAAGTATTAGGCTTTTCACGAGAAACGAGACGAACCTCCCGGAAGCAGCAAACAACCCACCAGCGAAAGAACAACGCACTGAAACGAAGGCACAGAGACGAAGAAAGGAGAAGCGGTCAAGAGAAGGTTTGGGAGGAAAGTGGTAGAGAAACCAAAAAACTTGAGGAAAATTTCAAAGAATTTTTAGGAAAAAAAAAAATTTAAGACTTAGAAAAAAATGTTATGGAAAATTTTAAGAACAAAAATGCTGAGAAAACGCTTTATGGGAAAAAATTCTACGAATTTTTTAGGAAACCATTTAAACACAAAAAAACAAAAATGTTGAGAAAAAAATGCAGAGGATTTTTTTTTAGGAAAATTTGTATGATAAAAATTTGGAAAATTTCTTTTTTTATATAAATATAAATTTTAAGAAAATTTTATGAAATTTTTTTTAATTGGAAACAATTGAAAATTAAAAATAAATGTTTCTATTTGTAAGCGGGAATTTGTAAAAAAAAATTGGAAAAAATGTGTTTAAGAGACTTACGCACGTAAAATACACCTCTGCTAAAGAGAACGCAGCCACCCTCTTTTTCGAACTTACGGCAGTTCGATGTGGCCATGCGACTGCTATAAATAGGGGCACCTTATTGATTCTCTTCCCTTCTTCTGTTCTTCTTTTTCGACCATACGGACGGACCATCATCGAGAAAGTATCATTTTAACCAACTACATCAACCGAAGGAATTTATCAACTTCATCAACGTGGAGTATTTACCACATACATCATTTACTTTGCTAAGTATCAATTTGAATTATACATCTACATTTCAATTACTGTTTGGAACATCTTTGTGTTATATTTATATTGAATTCTCATTCTTGTACTATTGAACTGCAATATTGTCTCATTAAATTGGATATGAATTACATACATGCGCATTTGCATTATTATACAAATACTTGAGTGCTTCACATCGATTACCCTTACACGTGTAGATCCGTACCTATACGTACCTCTAACAGATTTGAGAAGCAGAGGCCACTTATTCCAGGCCTCAGCAATTTCCCTTCTCAATATCGTACATAGGCGTTGACCTCCGTAAGCCCTCCAACAANTAACAGATTTGAGAAGCAGAGGCCACTTATTCCAGGCCTCAGCAATTTCCCTTCTCAATATCGTACATAGGCGTTTACCTCCGTAAGCCCTCCAACATGGTCCTTGCGAGCCAAATTTGAGCTGGCAACCATAAAATCAAGAAAAACGAACATAGCTACTCGCTAGTATTTTTTCACAAAGTCGTCACTTTGGCAATACATAGCAGCAAGTTACCAGCGAGTTCGTGTTTTTGTGCGTTCAAAAAGTTTGAAATTAATTAAAATTACGCTAAACTGAGCGATTATTCCATCACAGAAACGGTGTGAAAATAGTGCCATCGAGTTACGAAAGTGCTTTGCTTGGTATTTTAAAGCGAACCTGATTGCGAAGTGGAATTGCGATTTCCACAGGCGCAGCCATACAACCCAGCAAGCAATCGTCACCAGTGTATGTATGTATATATAGCGCATTTCAGCAAAGAAAATTACGAGCAAAAATATTGCCCTCTCCCCAGTGAAATTTAAGAATCGATCGTCGAGGGACAAGCACCAGCGAAAACCCCCAAAAAAGGCAAAGCAACCAGCTCTTTCCAGGGGCATCCGATAGACGGAAAACGGCAAAAAGCTACATCGGAAATCACAGGAAAGTAACAATAATAATACATAAGTGCTGAACAATTGTCACTAGAATATTCTAGAATAGCCATTATAAGCTGAACGACACATACATAAGTACATACATATGTACGGTTTCGATATTGGAATGNAAGTTTATCTTTGAATCGAACAGTGTTATTCAATTCTGTTCAAACTTCGATCAAGAGGATGTTGAGGACCAGGAAAGGCAGGTGGTATCGTCAAACAGTACTNGCTGAACGACACATACATAAGTACATACATATGTACGGTTTCGATATTGGAATGCAAACAGCACTCCGCTACTGGACATTTAAATTTCGTATACATAAATTTATTTGCTCGCTGGTTCTTTGCGCTGCTCGAGTCGACGCAAACAAAGTTTGAATCCNAACAGTGTTATTCAATTCTGTTCAAACTTCGATCAAGAGGATGTTGAGGACCAGGAAAGGCAGGTGGTATCGTCAAACAGTACTAGTTATGTGACGAAAATTTTGCACAAGCGTGGGAAGCACTGCGGGCACGCTACGATAACAAACGAATGTTAGTCGACAATCAGTTGAAAACCTTACTCAACATACCAGCTGCAAATTCAGAAAATAGTGAGGCCATTCAAAGGGCCCAGACANAAACAAAGTTTGAATCCTTCGTTTTATTTTTCCTCATGCTAAGCGTATATGTATGTATATTCATCCCCTAAACGTTCATAAAATCTTTCTCTTGTTACNAAATAGTGAGGCCATTCAAAGGGCCCAGACAACGATAACTGATTGCCTTTCCTCTCTGACCTCCCAAGGCGTTTCAGTTGCTAATTGGGATCCAATCCTCATCTTCTTATGTTCTACCAAACTCCCAGATGAGACGCTAGCACGC